ATGAAAAAATACTGGCAAACATGTCCGCCTGGCACAAACCACATGTTTTGGACAGCTGTGAAGTGACAGAATGTCCCAGCATCATGGTTCTTATATTGCCAGATTCCAGAGAGTCTCCCCTCTTCATATATGGTAGAATATGTCTTTTTCCAACTTGCTATGGTGAGATACATGTAAAAATGTAAGAATTTAGGCACACAGATTTGTTTTTTTCATTGATATAAAAATTAATATAAAATACAGGCACATAGAAGGACATGGAATGATGGCAAATCTGGTTAGCCCAGATTGTCCTGAAAAAAACAAGATATAGCATGTGTAGCCTTTATAATGACTGTGATATGAGCTTGAAAGTAAAGGCAGTAAAAATACCCCAAAAAGGCCTAGGGCCCATAGGGTTAAGAAGTACCGAAATAAGGTACCGTTTGGTACCGGTACCGAATTCCAGATACCAGTACCGGTACCGTATCAGTTCAATTATGAATGGTACCCAACCCTACTCAGAAACCATCAGTGTGTTGGTTGTCAGTCCTCACAGCCTGATCTGAGTCAAACTGAGGAGAACAGAGAGGCAGAGCCTCCAGCCAGCAGCTCAGCTGAACAGATGGAAACAGAGGCTGAAGGAGAGGACTGTGGAGGACCAGAACCAGCCAGGAACTCAGATCCAGATACGTCTGCTACAAGACCGCTCCCTTCAAGACAGGACTAACTTCACCCCAGACCACATGTTTGACCTGCTGGACCTTTGTTTGACCACCACCTACTGCAAGTACAGCAAGGGTTTCTACCAACAAAAGCACGGCTGTGCTATGGGCTCACCGTTGTCTCCTATAGTGTCCAATCTTTACATGGAAGATGTGGAGAAGAGAGTGCTGACCACCTTTACAGGAACTGCTCCTAGCCACTGGTTCAGGTATGTGGATGACACCTGGGTCAAAATCAAAACTGAGGAAGTGGAAACCTTTACCGAACACATTAACGCAGTGGACCCCAACATTAAATTCACACGGGAGGATGTCAGAGGAGACAACTCACATTGTAACCTTAACGACTCTGAAGCTAAGAGCTCGCATGACCCCTACGACTCTGCAGGGGTTCCCACCCACACAGGGTTTAAAGCCTGCAACTTTGTACCAGTCTTTTAGAACTGAAGAAGCTTCTTGGATGAGAGGCGAAACGTCTGAAAGAAACGCAAGCAAGTCCAGTTGCCTATGATATAGCATTTATGATTGTCTGGTGCCGTTAGCTTCTCTGGTGTCGTTAGCTTCTCTGGTGTCGTTAGCTATTTCTACTTCTGGTCATCATGTTGGTTTTTTTTTCTTTAGATATGTAATAGGACAAACATGCTCTTTAACAGTTTAGTGGGATTTCTTAACTCATAAGGGACACAGGTAATGTGTTTACTTCCTGTAAATAGAGCAGTAAATCTGATGTCCATATATGTATTTTGTATTTATCTGTTTTAACTCCTTATTTTGACACAAAGACGCAGTCATATCTGTAGCATGTTCTACTGCATCAAAATACAGTACATGTCTCAGGATTACACTCACCGGCCACTTTATTAGGTACACCATGCTAGTACCGGGTTGGACCCCTTTTTAATTCTTGGTGTCACAGATTAAAAAGGTATTAGAAAGATAGAAAGGTGNTTTTTCTTTAGATATGTAATAGGACAAACATGCTCTTTAACAGTTTAGTGGGATTTCTTAACTCATAAGGGACACAGGTAATGTGTTTACTTCCTGTAAATAGAGCAGTAAATCTGATGTCCATATATGTATTTTGTATTTATCTGTTTTAACTCCTTATTTTGACACAAAGACGCAGTCATATCTGTAGCATGTTCTACTGCATCAAAATACAGTACATGTCTCAGGATTACACTCACCGGCCACTTTATTAGGTACACCATGCTAGTACCGGGTTGGACCCCTTTTTAATTCTTGGTGTCACAGATTAAAAAGGTATTAGAAAGATAGAAAGGTGCTCTGTTGGACTGAGATCTGATGACTGTGGAGGCCATTGGAGTATATTGTAGGATGACTCTGAGCAGTTTGACAACCTGCTATCTATCATCAAGCAGTATAGCTCTGGGCATCGAACAACAGCGACCACCAGTTTCTCCTCCATTGTTTACCAGCTGTAAACTTGTTGTCGTGACGACCACAGAAGGCCCGCCTCTGAAATCATCCAGTTGGGCAATGGGCGGAGAAAAAGATGAAAAAATAAATGACCTGGGGCACTTCTCCGCTCTGAGTTTAAGTTTTTTCAACTCGAGTAGTTCAGAGCATTCTGACAAAAACGCCAGGTGCGTAGAACACAGAAATGTGAGGCGTGTCGCAACACAAAAGCAGCGAGCAAAAAGCTTCACTCTCATTGAACGCTATTACAAAAAGCCACCTCCAGCTGCTGAAACGCTTTCTGTGTGATCAGGGCCTAAATGTGTGATGTTAAGGTGAGGGCTGGAACACAGACCCAGCCACCATTGGACTCCTCAACAGCATCATGTGACATGTTTTTTACTTGTTGTGTATTGTGTGTGTGTGCTTGATATCTCTTTACTGTTATTCACTGCTGGCTGCACAAAGACTTGTCCCTCGGGGATAATAAAGTTTACCTTACCTTACCTTACCTTGTGTTGACCATTTATGGTTTACTGTGGTGTGTTTAGAAAAGGACATGAGGCTGATCCACGTGAGGATAAGTCCAGGTTGATTTGGGAGTCATCAAAGGAAATTCTTTAAAACGTGTGTTTTAATCATTTATCATCTTGTGTGTGTTTTTCAGAGTAAACTTGTAATTCCAGTAACACTTCTGTGCTTTTATTTTGAAGCTCAGAAGCTTATCGCTGCGGTGCTCCACCTCTGCTGTCAATGATTCATTTGAAACTTTTATGTTTTATCTAAATCACGGTATTTCAAAAAACATCATTATTCGGCAGTGGACACATTATAAAGTGTAAAGTATGAGGTTTCTGTCAATTTTTTTTTTCACGAGCTTGAAAGATAAAAACTCGTGCAGACATTAATCCAAATAAATGACATCTTAATCTAAATCGTGCCGAGCTCCGCTGCCGCAGGTTTCATTGACGAGGCCCCGCCTTCACTTTCAGCAAATCGTGTCTTGTGCAAAGCATTGTGGGGATTTTGTACCCGCGGAGGATCCACACATGCATCCTTCGAATTTATTTGAAAGAAGAGGCTCGTTGGAGATGAGACGAGGGCCCATTCCCAAACCACTCCCTACCCACTACCACCTCACTACCGAGTGTCACTCCAAATCAAGTTATACTCGCAGCTGTGGAGGGCACTCTAGATTAAGGGGAAGTGTATGAAAGAGAAGCCAAACAGATGGGACGCCCTCGCCACTCTACCGGAAGAAGGAAGCAGATGTAACCATGGATACCGACAGACGCTTTGTGAAAGCAAAATAGAGCAACAGGCTATAAAAAAAAAAAAAAAAAAATTAAAATGAGATACATTAAAAATAAACTTAGATAAGTCAGATAAGAGATACAGTGCAGTGTAATCAAAGTAATTAATATTTTCTAGACACAGTTTACACATTTACAGATTAATTCATCTGGGCAATCTTACCTCCATCCCATTCCTCTTTTTAGTGAAGAGACTCTCATTTTTAATCCGTAGATCGATTAACTGCTTTGTTTTTTCTTCTGTCCCTGTGAACACAGAATTATATATTTTTTTAAAAAATCATGAGAATGGGATGAGGAATTTTTTAGACAGTTTTAAATAGTTCATTTAAGCATATGGACGTGGAGGTTTTCATCTTTTGACACCAAACATTCTGTGAGTTTGTTTGAGACTGTAAAGTAAGGGTGAGGAAAACAAATATGTGTGTTTGACCTAAAATATTTTACAAAGTAGAAAGACGGAACTCTTACATTTGTACGTTGTTTCCTCCATTGTGATGTTGCGCTTCCTGCTGGGCTCATCAGAAGCCTGCACTGATGCACACTCGCTATCTAAGGGCTGAGCAGTCCACTCGCACTCAGCGATAATTGGTTTGGGACGGCCCTTAATATGGCGGAGCTCCGCGTGACCGCGCAAACGGAGGGGGAGTGAATAGGGCGAGGGGATAGGGGCCGGTTTGGGATTGGGCCGAGATCAGACATCTAAACCAATCAGCTGTTAGATCAGGTGAGAGCCAGGCGGTGCAGTCGGTGGAGAGCACCTGCAGCACCTCGCTTTGAAAACTGCGGCCGCCCAGCTCTCGCGATTTTATCGCCGTCCACTTTGGTAATACCAGAGATACTGGATGAAAGGAGATTCCGCCTGTTTATCAAGATCACGAGATCTCGCGAGAACTTGTTTTCTGAGACGGACAGGGCTCAAATAAAGTTAACCTTCTCTTGATCTGTGCGGATGAAAAATGCAGCTTTAGTGTCACAATGTTGGTAAGATGTGTGGCTTGTGGAAAATGAACCCAATATTTACTTTAGTGACTACAGGGCTAAAGAATTAACCATAAATTGTGATCACGTTCATTTTCCTCATTGACGACAATACATTCAGAGCTGCCTCAAGTCTCCTACGGGGGCGTGGTGCTGACGTCACTGAATCAGGAAGTGAGCTGAGTTAGGTATCTCGCTTCATCCAATATCTCTGGTAATACGTCAGAGCAAGTCGGGAGGAAGACTGCGCATGCCTGGCTCATTCCAACCCGACCCGACGCCAAGGCATTCAGCTTCAAACAGGACACTTGAACACTTCGTGTTTATATGTTCACCACTGTTAAAGTGTGAAAATGTCTAAAGTTCAAATGCTGAGATCGTTGGCGAAGCAGCGACTAACTGCGGCTGATGGAGAGATATTTGGGCTGTTTGAAAGAACGATAGCAGAGTACGAGGAGGAACTTTGTCGATTAAAAGAGGAGAACGAGCGACAACGGAAACTACTGGACGCTGTTTTCAACCCTCAGCTTCGGTTACACAGAGCAGGTTTGTTCATTAAACATTACAAGTTCATTATTAATAATATAACTGCAGCTTTGTTCAATAAATATTCAGTCTGTCGACGTTTAAAGCC